AATAATATCTATATATATATATATATATATATATATATATATATATATATATATACACACACACTATATATATATATGTGTGTGTGTATGTATATATATATATATATATATATACATACATACATACATACACACACACTATATGTATTAAGGCAATTTGCCTGGATTTGTGGGAGGTGCTTGGTATACACTCCTAGCCTACTTAAGGCACACCCCTTACCTTGCTCCTTACCGTTCGAGGTCAGCGTTGAATGAGGATCCACTTCCAGGTTCTATCAGACGCCATCTTGGTTTTTCAGTATCCACAAGGTTTTTACCACGGCAAGCTGTGTCTAGGAATCCTGTTCAGGCCATTTCCGTCCGTCCAGCTTCTTCTGACCCCGGTCTTCGTTGTAGATCGCATCCCAGGGACTCCTAAACCGTAAGTCAGACCTACCTGTCATGCCAGGATCGGTTCCCACGGCATATGGTACAGCACGGGTCCTCGCTTTACGTTTTTTTCCGTTATGTCACAAATTGTACACGCCGATCGCGGTTTTCATTCGTACGGACATTCGGCTAATCGGTATATTCATATAAGTAATTTCTCATATAACTATTCTATGTTACATTGAAACAGATTATCATTTCGGTTCGCATAAAATTCATACGTTTAAACTATTCGTTCCAACTTCTGTTTTCCCTCACATTGGGTTTCGGTTTTATTTCTATGTATTACGCATAATCCTTTCGTGGATTACATTCACCATTTCATGTATGTAACAACATTCGGTTAACGAATTGCTGGTTTAAATAGACAGATTATTTCTATTACTGTTTAAAGGTATCAGTATTGCCACGTGTATGCATGCCTGGATGATTCTATCTAGGGTCTATACCTCTGTGGTGGGTGTGAGTGAGTGGCATTTCTGGAAGCTCAGATTAGAGATCTGGAGAGGCAAATTGTAACACTGAGGGAGATTGACAATCTTGAGAGGAGTCTGCTGCTCACTGAGCAGAGTTTAGTGGGGACAGGTAGTGGAGAGGGAGGAGATAAGACAGATGGGGAACAGGCATGTAGCTGGGTGACAGTGGGGCAAGGAAGCAGGGGGGTGGGAAGAGAAAAGGTTTAGCTAGTCCTGATCTCATGCAGCCTAACAGATTTGTCCTTTTGAGTGAAGATGTTGGGAGTATCAGCTCAGGAGTAGCTGTACTGCAGGAAGCTGTTCCTGCTAACAGCGGTGGAAACAGCCCCTCTAGTACGGGTGGGGTTGAGAGGGTAAGGAAGTCTAGACAGGTTGTGGTGGTAGGGGACTCTATTATTGTGAGAGTAGATAGGGTAATCTGCCACTCTGATCGACTCAACCGGACAGTTTGCTGTCTCCCGGGTGCTCGGGTCCGGCATGTTGCCGACAGAGAGGAGGGATTATTGGGAAGGGCTGGAGATGACCCAGCTGTCATGGTCCATATTGGTACCAATGACAAAGTCAGAGGAAAATGGAAGGTCCTAAAGAATTAGTTCAGGGAACTAGTAAGTAAGCTAAAGAAAAGGACCTCCAAGGTAATTTTTTCAGAAATATTACCTGTGCCGCGCACTACAGCAGAAAGGCAGCAGGAGATTAGAGAGGTCAATGCGTGGCTAAAGTCTTGGTGCAGGAAAGAGGGTTTTGGGTTTTTAGAGCACTGGGCCGATTTTGCGCTTGGGTACAACCTGTATAGTCATGATGGATTGCACCTAAATGGAAGAGGGTCTGCTGTGCTGGGGGATAGGATGACTAGAAGGTTGGAGGAGATTTTAAACTAGTGGTAGGGGGGGAGGGTCAAAGCAACCTAGAAAATGGAGATAGGATGGAAAGGAGATGGGCTTTAGCTCAGAACAAAGGGGGTGGAGATGGGGGGAGGGGAAAGCTCAGAACAGAGGAGGTATGTAATATTGATAATTCACAAAAAGTACAAAAGACTCATGATAATATTAAATGTATGCATACTAATGCAAGGAGCCTACATAACAAAATGGGGGAACTAGAGGCAATAGCATACACTAAACAATATTATATAATAAGCATAACAGAAAAATGGTGGGATGAGACACATGACTGGGTAGTTAATTTAAATGGGTACACATTATTTAGGAAGGAAAAACAAGAAGGGTGGTGGGGTATGTTTATACGTCAACCATGAGTTAAAGTCAAATCTTAGGCATGTGGAGTGTGACGAGGAAAAGGTGGAGGCTTTATGGGTAGATATCTACTTGGGGCAAACAAAGGGAAATCAATTATTGGTTGGGATATGTTATAAACCACCTAAAGTAAATATTATTGAGGAAGAACAGCTGTTAGAGCAAATTGAGAAAGCTGCAAATCGAGGTAACACGATTAATTATTGGAGATTTTAATTATCCAGACATAAATTGGGAAAGAGGGACTAGTACTTCAGCAAGGGGAATCAGGTTTTTGAATGTGTTAATTGACACCTTTATGTCACAACTGGCACCAACTAGAAAGGATGCTTGTCTGGATCTCATCATAACAAACAATGTTGATCTTTTAACCAACTTTCAAGTAGGGGAGCATTTGGGAAATAGTGATCACAATATGGTAAATTTTGAAATAAACTCAAAAAAGCAAAAGCAAGTGGGGTATACTAAAACATATTTAAAAAAAGCAAATTTCAATAAGATTAGGGAAGCTCTACAACATATCGACTGGCATAAACTCCTTAGTGATAAAAACACTGAGGATAAATGGAAACTATTCAAACAAATATTAGAAATGTACATTTCTTTTTTTTTTTATTCTTTATTTTTGTTCGTGCATGAGGGTAACAGGCGAATTTGTACTGCCACAATAGCTGGTACAGTCGAGTTTACATACATTGTTAATCACATGGCATTAACGACATTGCACTTTTTTTTTTTTTGAAAGTAGTTAGATAAACAAGATAATAACGTAAGCTTAGTAGTGATAGCAAATTAAAGACATAGATATAGAGAAACAGTTGTGTGTCATATTAACTTGCCTAGTTTCATGGATTAATACAGGAAGGTAGGAGCATGCTAAGTCTATTGAGGCTATGGGGTGCTGAACACTGTTAGTAAACATAGCCCTAGAAAATGTATAGCTCTGTGAAAATTATGCAGGCTGAACATTGTTATCATACATAGCCCTAGAAAATGTGTGTAGAGGATGAGCTTTGTTGAAAGCTTGACACAAGTTTGTACTAGTGTTGTTAGTCGATAGGAATACAAGATAATTGCAATAGGTTAGCGTGTAAGTTGTAGGGCATAGCATATGAGCATAGGAGTAAAACTGCATTTCTCAGGGGATCCAGGAAAGCGTCCTTAACAGCAAGTAGAGACTGTATGAGGCATAGGGTGAATGACTCATCTCACAGAGGTAGCACAAAATAATTAACCATGGACAGAAACGTTCGGATGCCTTTGATTGTATTCACGTGAGGAAGTACTGTGAGGCTGGCAATAGTGAATGCGAGTCCCATCCGTGACGGTTGCCGCTTGTGATCAGGACTCCAATGATGGTGCGGCTGTAAGTAGCTTGTTAGCGCTTAGCCAATGCCGGAAGCAGGAAATCGAAAGTCTTGCACTTCGGGGGCTAGGGTGGCTCCAACATTCAGGCGGTTTAGTTGGGCATCCCTCTTGCCCCAGGCCAGTTGGTAGGCCAGCATCCTCTTGCCCCGGACGTGTGGGCTCCTAAGGTCCCAGTCCTCCCCTGTATGGGGTAGACGGGAGATCGTGGTGGTATGCCGCTGCCGGTTGCGGGCGATCTTCCGTCTGCGTGGGTGATGCCGTGGAGAAATGTACATTTCTCAGTATGTACCATTGGGTAAATATAAAAGAAACAAATTAAAACCAATGTGGCTTAGTAGAGAAGTAAAACAAGAGATTAAAAATAAGAAAAGGGCATTTAAAGCATTTAAATCAGACAAATCAAAGGCATCCATTAAAGTGGCTAAACTAGAAAATGAGAAATTGATAGCAAAAGAATGCAAAACCAACCCCAATTTTTTTTTCAAGTACATTAATTCTAAAAAAACAAAAAATGAAAGTGTAGGTACACTGGAAACAGAGTTGGGTTTATTAGCTAATGAAGACCAGGAAAAAGCAGAAATTTTAAATAACAATTTTTCTTCAGTATATATTAATGAGGATCCTATGGCAAGAGATATGCAAATGATTGCTGCAAAAAACTTGCAAATAACTTGTGATTGGATAACTCGAGACAAGGTGCTACAGCTATTAAAGAAAATTTATGTAAATAAAGCTCCGGGGCCCGACTGTATTCACCCACAAGTACTTAAGGAGCTAAGTGTGGAAATAAGTGAACCTCTGTATTTAATTTTTCAAGATTCTTTTGTTTCAGGTGTTGTACCGGAGGATTGGAGGAAGGCAGATGTTGTTCCTATATTTAAAAAGGGTTCACAATCCTTGCCTGGAAATTATAGACCTGTGAGCTTAACTTCTGTAACTGGGAAAATATTTGAAGGGCTTTTAAGGGATAATATTCAGGAATTCATTGGGAAGAACTTTATTATTAGCAATAATCAGCATGGTTTTATGAAACATAGGTCATGTCAAACTAACCTAATTGCATTCTACGAAGAAGTAAGTAGAAGTATAGATCAGGGTGTTGCAGTGGATGTGATCTACTTGGATTTTGCCAAGGCATTTAATACGGTTCCTCACAATAGGTTAGTCTTCAAACTAAAAGAAATTGGTCTAGATGAATATTCTTGTTCTTGGGTAGAACATTGGCTTAAGGATAGAGTACAACGAGTTGTAATTAATGGTAAATTTTCAGGCTGGACAAAAGTGGTAAGTGGTGTCCCTCAGGGTTCTGTTTTTGGACCGCTTTTATTTAACATTTATAAATGATCT